TTAAATTAGCACACACAAATTATATCTTGCCCCCGCCCCAATTCCTACTTTTTCTTTTCCCTTTGCTCTGATATTTTCTGTGAATCAGAAGACTTCGTCACTTTGCAGAGCTGTGAGAAGAGGTGGGTAAAATTATTATTATTATTATTACTATTTTACTGACACAAAAGCACAGTATGTCACAGCAAACTAGATCTATATGCTGGATTTCGTATCACAAAATCACAAGTCGAACACGTCCCAAGTGTCTAGGACTGTGTGATGTATTTTTGAATGATGCACGCAGATCCAAGTAAGGTGGCCTTTTGCAGTTGACAGATCGTGATTTTGATGAAGTTTATTGTTTCCAAATGCTGGCTGAGATCTTTTGGCATGGCACCCAGTAATTATTACTGTTATTATTATTCTCATATGCAGTACATGAAACCTCTGGAAGGTGTAGGCTTGCAATTTGAACATATATCTACATTCAGCACTTATATAGCCTATACAGTTTGGTTCAGACTATTTGAAGAATGTATCTCTTTATGAGCCCATTATTCTGGAGAGGCTCTTCTCTGTCCCACCACCTTATCAGGCTCGTTTGATGGCTGCTCCCGGGCTGTGGAACTCTTTCAAGATGTTAGATGGCACCATTATTAATTTTCTATATATATATAGAATTTTAATGTTTCAACTATACAAATTGGTAAATTGACTTTAAAATATTTTTATATTTATTTTTTAGTTGAAGCTTTTGCATATTTTTATTTATATGTTTAATATGTTGTAAGCCATCTTGAGTACCATTACTGTGAAAAAAGCGAGTTATGGATGAAAATAATAACAATAGAAACAGATCTTTGCATGAAAGGTTGGCATTGGAATGGCTGCAGAACTTTTAGAACAGGGAAGTTATTTCCAGTCTGGTTAAACCAATACTAAATAAAAATTAAATATATTATAATTTTGGCCTTTTTTTTTCCTTATAAGGCTTTGTAATTATATTTCTCCACACTGACAGATAGCTCATATATCCAAAATCCTGTTATGCTTACAGAAAGCTCTATAGATGTAGACTCTAAAACAAATTCTGGGGCAAACGAGTAACTTCTTGTTCCTTTTAACTATGCCAGCCTGCATTTAACATGTTTAATTCCCCTCCCATTAAAAATAACTAGGGAAACTGAATTTTAAAAGATATTAAAGAGAGAAAAAGAAAATGCTGCCCCATTCCACCCCATCAAATTTGTCACAAAACCCTTTTTCATAATTTAGTTCTTACTATTTTAACCTCATTGTGATGCAAATTTAAGATCCTATGAGACTAAATTCCAGAATAAAAGTTGTATTAGTCTGTAAACCAGAAATTCTGTAGAATCTCAAAGTTTAACAAATATATTGTGTGCATGAAAGCTTGTCACAACTGAGACTTTTAAGGCACAAGGTTTTGTCTTTCTGATAATACCCTGTTTGGGTTGGATGCTGAAATACTTGGCACTATCTCAAGTTGGTTTTTGAAATTCTGCTCTAGTTGTTACACTATGTGGCACTCATGGGTGTATTTCTATATTCCTTACACTTTGCCTCAACCTAGAGATAGTATCATATCAATTTCAACAGGAATTTGCTAATATTTACTGTTGGAAAATATGTACATGTCTAACAACTGTTGCTCGCAATCGTCCAGATAAAATGCATTTAGAAGACCATTTGTATATTAGGTTTGATATAATTTTCTACACGATCCTGCACATTTAACTTTGTGCCCTCTGAATTTAGAATGGATCCATGCCAGCAAAACAATTCAGCTCCAGTGTGAAATATCCTGCCTTGGTTTAACTTATTTGTGTTATGTAGACCCAATCCTAATGTGTATTGACAACTACACAGTCCCCTCTGCCCGTAAGGACCAAAGGAAGTATACCTGACGTTCACATGTTTACTGTATTGTATTATTTTCAGACACATGATCTGCAGCAGCTGCTGTTTTTTTGTCTGGCATGCATAAACCTATCAACCAATGGCTTATTTGTGCTTTCGCTGGATGGCACTTCCATTCAACCCCTTTTCCCTTTGCGCCCCAGTGCGTGATCATGAGTGAACAAGGGAGCTTTAAAAGTCCGTCCACACACACACACACACAGGAGGGAGGACTGCTGGTGTGCAGGTTTCCAGGGCCAACAGAGGGAGCAGAAAAAGGAAGGGGAACTAGAAGAGAAGAAGGTGGCAATGGCAGGAAACAGAAAAAGGAGTGGTGGTGGCTGCTCTTATGGAAGTTTTGGCAGAACCAGTGGTGCCACTAAGGTGCTGCAGGGCCATATTTACTCCCTCACCCTTAGTCATAATCACTATTGATTGTAAACATAACCTGATCCCCTTTCACTTCTCCTACCTCAGGGAGAGACTCGGCGCCAGAATTGGGGATGTGTGTAGTGTTTGTGCATTCCCTGTCCCTATCCAACCCCTTTATATTCTCCTGTCCTAGTGAGAGACACAGCAACAGATCAGTGGAACTTGTGTGCACTCCTTCCAAATCACTTTATAACCTTCCTGCTGTAGAGACTCACAGTCTCATGAAAAAATAATAAAATAATATTTTAAATGTACCACATAAATCCTACTGAACACTCCACCCCTCACTTTTAAAAATGAACATTCAAAATTGCAAATCCACATTTGTAGGAACTTACCATCCATCAACATGCTCTGCCCTCCAATCAACCCATCTCCATCCTACCCCAATCCTGATTAAGTGCATAGGGGTTTCTTAGAAAATGCAGAGTAAAACAGTGTTTTTAAAATTCTGTTAGAGCCTTCAGATGTCTAAAAGAAATGTTTTGCTTTGAAAAGGGAGAAACGTCATGTTAAAACAAGACAAGCATTGAAACAAGGACAAATTATTTTGGTGGTGTGTATCCAGCCTTACTCCAAGAAGTGTTGGTCCCTATATTGTTTTATAAAATGTCAAATTGACAAGAAAATACTTGTATTTTACTCTCTTTCACTAAGTTGCAGGTATAGGTATGTGAAAGGAATTACATTCATTTCCCACGAAGACTTTCTAAAAATAACTCAAGAGTTTTCAGGCCTTTTTATGTTTTTTCCACAGGAGGGCACAATTTGGCTCTTTACATTTATACTTGACTTGAATAGTCCACACTAAAAAAAAGGAAAGCAAAATATGCCAAAGGCTGCTTGCTATTTAGATATGCCAAATAAAACTGCATAATATTTAAATCCACACAACATGAAACATATTTAAAGATGTTTTCTATTACAAAACTATGTTTCCAAATGCAGGTATTTTATCGTTATAAACATGTATTTCAAATAGTATCAAATCTACTAAGAAGTAATCTATATACATACTTTTAAAGAACAAAAATCTGCCAGATTGGCAAAATATAAATTAAGCTACTATATCAGCAAAAGATAAACTATAATATGATTAATTCTTATCAACCTCTATAATTATACCTTTATTTGCCTGACTTTTTCTCAGGGCATGTGCACATAACTTGTAAAATAAGAATTTTATACTTAAAACATTTTCCAATATAATTTTTATTTTCCCCATATCACAATTTTTAAACATTTACAGTGAAACAGAACCCTTTCAAGCAATGTTACCATTAGCTTTAGTGTAAAAATTAATGAGTTGGTGTCAACATCCAATGGCCTGCAAAAACATTGAAAAAAGCATATTTCTAAAAATTAAGTTAACTTGAATGTTTATTTATATATGTCCCTTCTAATAGTAGTACACTTTGCAGGATAGAGGCAACTAAAAGATTTTGATTTCAACCCAACTAATAAAATAATTAAGTCCCATTGAAACCCACCCAACAATTTATTTACAATTAAATTCATCACTCTCTATGGCATGTCTCACCCAATCCAACAATTTTTAATCTGAGCACACATTTTACTGTGTCTAGTAGGACATATTATCAGGTAAGCATCATTATTAACTCTAAATACACTGAAATCTTAAGTCAAAGTTTAGAGTACATGTAAAGCACAAAATACATGTACTTATGCTTCTGAGTTTCCAAAAACCCGCAGAAATTATTTTTAGATGTAATATAGCTATATTATGCATCATCTGTAAAGACCTGTACAATGATGCTACTAGCGAATTCTCTGGGCAATCTCTCATGTGTAGGGTCTGGCATACCTAGAAATGCACCTGATGGCACATGACTTAATTAACTTATACTTGTACACAGCTAATTTACACAGAACAATCTCTGTGAATGCATCTCTTCAATTCAAAGCCATAGTGCCTGACTTCAGTCTTGTAGTTCTTACTGCTCTTAGGTTGATTTCTTAACTTTGTGGAAAACTGAAACGACTATATTTAACGATGAGTACATTCAGAATATTTTTGGAATGCTTGATTAAGAGAATCCAAAGCAGACATTTCGGCAAACTTACCTGAATTATAACTTTCTGTTTGGCTCCACTGTGCACAATTTGAAGAGAAAAAGCTTTCCAGGTTGTCATTGTCCCCTTCTCGAAAGCCTGCTCCACTACCCATAATTAAGTTATCTGCAAGAAATCTGTCAAAAACTACAACAATTTCCCAGCAAAGAAACCTTTATGGATTTCCCTCTTTCATGTTACTTTTTTTTCACAAAACATCATTTTGGAAAAAAATGTGTATGGCCCAGAAACCTAGATTTTTCATCAACTTTAAATACGATGATATCCTTGCCTTATAAAAACACGCTTGCAAGTATAAAAGTGGCAATTAATGTAAAAAAACAAAAACCTCCATGCAAACAAGAGCAGTTGTTTAATAGTCCTTCTGGGAATGAAAGAATAGGACACACATTTCTTCTTCTTAAGGAGATCTGTATATCTTCCTTGGAATTTTTTTTCATTTTACCTGCAATCTTGACAATTATGTTTTAAAAACAATTCCTTAGAATCAAACACTTGGAAGACAACACAAGGACCATCCAATCTATGCCCCTGGCATGCAGGAACAAATCATTAACAACATTATTTCAGTCTTCTTTTGGTCAAATCATGTTTATTTCTCTTCACAACATCAGGCCTTATCAGTTTTTCTTTCCATGTCAGGAGTGACTTGAGAAACTCCAAGTCGCTTCTGGTGTGAGATAATTGGCTGTTTGCAAGGATGTTGCCCAGGGGATGCCCAGATGTTTTACCATCTGGTGGGAGGCTTCTTTCATGTCCTTGCATGAGATGCTGGAGCGGACAGACAGGAGCTCACCCCATTTCCCAGATTCGAACCGCCGACCTTTCAGTCAGCAGTCCTGCCGGCAAATGGGTTTAACCCATTGTGCCACTGGGGGCTCCTAGGCCTTATCTGTGAACTCCAGGTTTTCCTGCAGACATCAGAAACTGAGATAGGGAACAGAGAAAAAAAGACATGAGACAGGAGCCACCTAGAAAGACAAGAGGCAACATGGATTCAAGGAAGTACAGTGAAGACCCATTTCTCATCACCTTTAAATCCAGAAATATCCTTCTTTAAGATAACAACCATAAAAGTGGTTTTTAATAGGTGAAAAAAAAAACCCAAACAGGTGCAAACAGGAACAGTTGGCCAGTGGTTACTCTAAGAGTGAAAGAATGAGAAATACATTCCTTAAAAGAACACCTTCCCTTGGAGTCCTTCCCCTCTTCTATTTGGAATCTTTACAATTAGATATTTAAAGGAACTACTGATAACCAACTAATAATAGACTTGGAAGAGGGCCGCCCAGTCCATCCCTTTGCCATGTAGGAACAATTTAAAGAAACAACAACAAAATTATGTTGTTGTTGGGGTGGCTTTCAATTTTTGACAATTTATAGAATCATAGAGTTGGAAAGAGACCTCATGGGCCATCCAGCCCAACCCCCTGCCAAGAAGCTGGAAAATCACATTCAAAGCATCCCGACAGATGGCCAACAAGCCTCTGTTTAAAAGCCTCCAAAGGAACATTCCAGGGCAGAGTGTTCCACTGCTGAATAACTCTGACAGTCAGGAAGTTCTTCCTAATGTTCAGGTGGAATCTCCTTTCCTGTAGTCTCCAGGGCAGCAGAAAACAAGCTTGCTCCCTCCTTCCTATGACTTCCCCTTACATAGTTATACATGGCCCTCATCATGTCTCCTCTCAGCCTTCGCTTCTGCAGGTTAAACATGGCCAGATCTTTAAGACGCTCCTCATATGACTTGTTCTCCAGACCCTTGATCATTTTAGTCCTCCTTCTCTGGACACATTCCAACTTGTCAACATCTCCCTTCAATTGTGGTGCCCAGACCTGGACACAGTGTGATTCCAGGTGCAGTCTGACCAATGCAGAACAGGGGGGTATAAAATCATAGAATCATAGAGATGGAAGAGATCTCGTGTGCCATCCAGTCCAACCCCCTGCCAAGAAGCTGGAAAATTGCATTCAAAGCACCCCTGGCAGATGGCCATCCAGCCTCTGTTTAAAAGCCTCCAAAGAAGGAACCTCCACCACATTCCGAGGCAGAGAGTTCCACTGCTGAACGGCTCTCACAGTCAGGAAGTTCTTTCTAATGTTCAGATGGAATCTCCTTTCTTGTAGTTTGAAGCCATTATTCCGCGTCCTAGTCTCCAGGGCAGCAGAAAACAGGCTTGCTCCCTCATCCCTATGAATTCCTCTCACATATTTATACACAGAATCAGGAAAATTGCATTCAAAGCACCCCCGACAGATGGCCATCCAGCCTCCATTTAAAAGTTTCCAAAGAAGGAGCCTCCACTACATTCCAGTGCAGAGTGTTCCACTGCTGAACGGCTCTCACAGTCAGGAAGTTCTTCCTCATATTCAGATGGAATCTCCTTTCTTGTAGTTTGAAGCCATTGTTCCGCGTCCTAGTCTCCAGGGCAGCAGTAAACAAGCTTGCTCCCTCCTCCTGCGGGTTCCTCTCACATATTTATACATAGAATCAGGAAAATTGCATTCAAAGCACCCCCGACAGATGACCATCCAGCCTCTGTTCCCTCCTCTCTCAGCCTCTCGCTCCATTCTGGGGCAGAGAGTTCCACTGCTGACCATCTCTCACAGTCAGGAAGTTCTTCCTAATGTTCAGGTGGAATCTCCTTTCTTGTAGCATGACAGCTTCGAATTGAACAGCTTGGAAGGACTCTTCTTCCTCACAACGTCCGGCCTTATATTCCTAGATAATAAGGTTTTCCTGCAGACATCAGAAAGCAAGATATGAAACAACAACAAATGGGAGGAAGAAAGAAAAAAAAGAAAATACCTCACAATCTCTGAGGATGCCTGCCATAGATGCAGGAGAAACGTTAGGAGAGAATGCTTCTGGAACATGTATTGTCGAAAGCTTTCATGGCCGGAGTCATAGAATCAAAGAGTTGGAAGAGACCTCATGGGCCATTCAGTCCAACCCCCTGCCAAGAAGCAGGAATATTGCATTCAAATCACCCCTGACAGATGACCACCCAGCCTCTGTTTAAAAGCTTCTAAAGAAGGAGCCTCCACCACACTCTGGGGCAGTGAGTTCCACTGCTGAATGGCTCTCAGTCAGGAAGTTCTTTCTAATGCTCAGATGGAATCTCCTTTCTTGTAGTTTGAAGCCATTGTTCCGTGTCCTAGTCTCCAGGGCAGCAGAAAACAAGCTTGCTCCCTCATCCCTATGAATTCCTCTCACATATTTATACACAGAATCAGGAAAATTGCATTCAAAGCACCCCCGGCAGATGGCCATCCAGCCTCTGTTTAAAAGTTTCCAAAGAAGGAGCCTCCACCACACTCCAGGGCAGAGAGTTCCACTGCTGAACGGCTCTCACAGTCAGGAAGTTCTTCTCGTGTTCAGATGGAATCTCCTATCTTGTAGTTTGAAGCCATTGTTCCGCGTCCTAGTCTCCAAGGAAGCAGAAAACAAGCTTGCTCCCTCCTCCCTGTGGCTTCCTCTCACATATTTATACATGGCTATCATATCTCCTCTCAGGCTTCCCAGAAGAAGATCCAACCAGTCCATCCTCCAGGAAATAAAGCCCGACTGCTCATTGGAGGGAAGGATACTAGAGACAAAGTTGAAGTACTTTGGCCACATCATGAGGAGACAGCAAAGCCTAGAGAAGACAATTATTCTGGGGAAAGTGGAAGGCAAAAGGAAGAGGGGCCGACCAAGGGCAAGATGGATGGATGGCATCCTTGAAGTGACTGGACTGACCTTGAAGGAGCTGGGGGTGGTGACGGCCGACAGGGAGCTCTGGCGTGGGCTGGTCCATGAGGTCACGAAGAGTCGGAGACGACTGAACGAATGAACAACAACAACAACATCATCATCATATCTCCTCTCAGCCTTCTCTTCTTCAGGCTAAACATACCCAGCTCCTTAAGCCGCTCCTCATAGGGCTTGTTCTCCAGACCCTTGATCATTTTAGTCGCCCTCCTCTGGACACATTCCACATTCACTGGGTTGTAAGTTTTTCGGGCTGTTCTGAGAGAAAGCGAGAACATAGCCATACAGTTTAAAAAAAACAAAACAACTTACCACAACCTTCTGGAACATGGCCATATAAGCCCGGAAAACACACAACAACAACAACAACAAGAACCCAGTGATCCGGGCCATGAAAGGATAAGAGTCACTTGGATAGACAACAACAAAACCAAAGAAAGAGAAAGAGAGACAACTTCGTAGAAGATAGAAGGAAGGAAGCTGAAGAAGGAGGCAAAGGAGAAGGAGGAAGCCAGGCAGCAGCCGAGCCGAAAGGGGGAGGCTGTTGGTGTTTGGCGCCGGTGGAGGGAGTCATTCCTCCAAGCTGCACTTCCGGTCGGCATTTTGTTCTGAGAGGGAGCGAGAGCGACGCTCGCATTTACGCAGGCTCCTGTTTTTCCGCCCTCTCTCCTTCCTCCTCCCTTCCCGGGACCGACTCCCCGTGGCCCAGGCGCCCCCTCCCTGCCCCGCCCCAGCAGCCGCGTCCACGCACGCCCAGGAAGCAGGGGAGCAAGGAAGCAAGGCAGGGGAGCCAGAGAGGCGGAGGCAGGGGCCTAGGCGGCGGTGACGGCGGCGGAAGAGAAGGAGCGAGCGCCGCCGCGGCCGAGGAGATCCCCCTCCCTCTCCTCTCCTTCCTCCCTTCCTTCCCTCCTCTTCCTCCCCCTTCCCCGGTCGGTGCGTGAGGAGGTGTTGATCGGATCCGGCTAGGCCCCGGCCTTGGCGTCGTGTGGATATGTTGGTGGTGAATTAGCCTCGGTGGGAGGAGGAGGACGACGGCAAGGAGGAGGAGGAAGAAGAAGAGAAGCAGCAAGAAGAAGAAAAAGAGGAGGAAGAGGAAAGCAGGCAGGCTTCCTTCGGCCGCTCTCCCCTCGGCGGCTCTCTACATGTTCGCTGCACTCAGGAGGAGGCGGAAGAGGAGCCAGCCCCCCTCCCGGCCCGGATTATTGTTGTTATATTATCTCCCTTCCTCCTCCTCCTCCTCTCGCTCCGCGGCCCAGCGGCGGATCCTTTGAGGAGGGAGGGGGTGGCCTTTCCCCCCTCCTCTTCCCCCCTTCTGGTTTGGTTTTCGGTTGGATTCAGGCGGCGTTTCGCTCAGGTAAAAAGGCAAAGCTCCCCCTCCTTCCCTCTCTCCCTCGGTTTTGGTTCCTTCTCTCCAGGCAGGCAGCGCCTTGGGCCTCCTCTCTCTCTGTCTCTCTCTCTGCTTTGGCCCAGTCGGGAAGCAGAGCAAGGGATTAGCCTTTTCGTCCGGTGTGGGGGGGATAATAATGAGTGGCAGCCAGGGTTGATGGGGGGGGGGGTGCTTCACGTTTCTCCCCGCCTCCTGGATGTGAATGGTTGCCTCGGAGTTGCTGGAGAAGGCCAAGCCCGGAGGAGGGCGCAGGCCCAGCGGACAGCGCTTCCACTCCAGCTCGGGGATTATTTTAGAGCGGCGGAGTGGCTTCTTCCCTGTGACAGGCCTCGCTCAAGCGCCCCAGAGCCAAGAGTGGGAGGAGGAAACAATACAGTCCAAACCGCGGCTGGGCCATATTTACAACTTCACGGGCGGCGGGAGGGAAGGGAAAGGGGGAAAAAGTCCCAGATAAAAACATTTGCAAAGAAAAGATGGGGAAAAGAGAATAAGACGCGTGCACTCGGTGTGTGTGTCTAGTTGGCAGCGACTGTGCCTTTTAATTCTCCTTGCACGATATTTTGACTGTAGGTGGCTAGGAGAAAAAAAAGATTGATATTGCAAGTTGTGTAAATCCCTGCGGATTGCCTTGATAAATAAATCCAGGCCGTGCTGAAAGATTGACAGAACACGAAACACCTGTCCAACTCACAAGAGATACATATTATTTTTATTTCTCGCCAGTCAATTATATTACATTTCTAACAGAACAAAGCAAACAAACAGAGAAAATACAAAATGTGTGAGTTTGGTAGTTGATTAAATGTCCTTTGACCAGTATCTGGCCACTTTGAGTGCTTCTGGTGTTGCTGCAAGAAGGCATACATGAAAGCCTTAGACAACACATCATACATCGCCTGCTGTATGCAACCTTTAAAGGTTTTCTTTTCTGTGCACACGAAAAGTTACATAGTAAATTATTATTGCCACACGGAAAAAAAATATTGTTTGTAACAATGGATTGCCAGCTAGAGATAGTACCCTTGAAGTTAGTTGATTTTTTTAAAGGCCAAAGGTTACTCTGGAATCTCCTAGCAAATTGTACTAAATAAGGCAGCAATCCTAAACCTAGTCCTTTAGTCCTATTAAAATTGGTGGTCCATCCATATGAAGAAACATGGTTGAGGAGTGGGTTAAAATAGTTTAAAATCTTGCAGAATAAATTTTCTGTACCAATTTCAAATAGATAGATACTGTTTGTGTCCATATTGTGTGTGAGTGTTATTGAGTAATCACGTACAACACAGATGTCGAAAAGTTCATCATCAGTATTATAATGTTAACTGGAAGGAAATATAATAGTTTTCTGGTAAACAGTTGTAAATTAAAAAAAATGTGAGAAACTATTTGGATACAGTCCTGGATCTGTTCCTTAGAATAAACTTCATTTGAACCCAATGGAATTCATTTCAGAGTAGACATTCACAGTCTCTATAACAAGTTAATTTGTGCAATTTTGATTAATTCTGTTTTATAACTACTTTTTATGTAACTTTGTCAAAAAGAGGTCTCTGGTTGTGATTAGGTTGTAGTAATCTTTCCCAGTGCTCAACTTTCACATTGATGTTGTTGGTGTTCTAACTTAAAAAAAAACTAGCTTCCGTTTAGTAAAATAACTTTTGGTGTTGTTTGGGAAGTAGTGCTGTGTTTTTAAATGGGTGGTGTGAATATAGCTGTCACGTAGAAAGCATGTTTTTAATGATGTAAATTCATGTAGTAGTCAGTACTGTGTCTGTGATTTGTATTGGCCAGGCAGCGGTTTGAATTTTAAAAAGCCAGAAGATCCTGCTGAGCCCCAAACCCGGCCTCCCTCCCTCCCACTAATCTGCCATTCCTGTCTTTGTGCTGCCTGGGCCTGTTAGACACTGTTTGCAACAGGGCCTCAGGCCTGTATGCTCGGGAGAGCAACCATTTTCAGTTTGAAAAAGCAGCTTTTATTTTCTGAACTTTATAAATTGCAGACTGAAACATGAGTTGTTTCTAATTATTTCTGTGTATGGTGACTGAATTTTGCCTTTTGAAAAAAGCTGTACTAGGAATGTCAAGCATAGGTCTAATTTACAGAAAGGACAGTGCAGGAAACAATTGTAAGAAAGTGGCACTAGAACTTCTCATTTTGTCACTTCAGTTAAATATGTGATTTCCCATAAATTGCATTGAAGCTTATGCCCTAGTCATATACCTCCTGCATGTTCTTTACTTTAGTTCCAGTTTTATTCATTTAGGTATGCATTCTCCTGCCTACCCCTTTTTAAATGTTTACAGTCTTCATGCATTTTAAAGTTGTTTGTTTGATACATTTTGTATGAAATATTCATCATTTTTAATATGAATATTTTCTTCTGAAACTTTTCTAAAACACATACCTGTGATTTGGTCCATTATTTTGGAAACACAATGACATGTCTTAATTTTCTAATTTACATATGATGTTTAGTACTGAGGTTATTTCTTTAGAAATAATCAAGTAGCTGAAGCAAACCTCAAATTTCAGATACCTTGAAGGGTTAAATCACTTGTTGGTGAAATATATGTTGTTATATTCCTTAGCTAAAAAGGGATGGATATTTTCTTCTTGTGCCCTAAATGATCTTTCACACTTTCAGTTTTTATTGCATTAGTTATAATATATATTTTTATAAAGAAAGCACTGTGAGAGAGAATGTATTGGTAAACAGAAACAAATGTTTACCAATACATTTACGAAATTTGAAATTTCGTCTCCTTCAAATAAATGGGTATACCATGGTTCAGAGACTCAAAGTTAGGGTTTTAGTTACATCAACTTTATATTTTGCTGGAAAATACATTTTTGTGGGCTTTTGAGACTAGTGAATATGTTTCTACAAAGAACAGAGGTAGGGATACATTTTAAATACACAAATAATGTTTTGCAATAAAACTTCAGAGATTCTCAAATGTATTGAATTTTGATGTCAATTCAACATAGTTTATTATATTTAATTTAAGAAAATATTTCACAAATCATTTAATATTGGAGTTACAGATTATGACATTTACCATTGTGTGACAACACACTCTTGCACCCTATTTATTTTGATGAAATTGGCATATATTCTAACTTGCATAGATTAGGTGTGAAGTCTTTGCCTTATATACAACCAATCTAGGTCAAGGACAATGCCCCTTTTTGATATCTGGTTCCTAGGACAATGTGCCTCAAATTCTCAATGAGCACATAAAATATGCTCATTCATATTTTGGATGTTATCTAAATATGACTAAACCAGTTATTGCTGTGCAGATTAATATCTTGAATGGGATAAATGAATTGAGTACTTTGATTAGTGTGTTTAGAGACCAGCAATTTAATGGAAATAATGCCATGCTTTATAATGAATAATTCTGATGTTTATCACATTAGTTGGGGTCTGTCTCAAAGATCATAGGCAATGAAGAGAATCAGTCGAAGTGGTCTGTATTTAATTTTGGAAGAGATCTGGATTCTGATTTATGCTTTGAGAAGATTGGATTTAAGTCTGCAAATAAATGAATCTTCCAGATACTTTTAGACTGTGATCCAAAGCTCATTTAATGAGTTCTGTTGAAATTGATGTAGCTTACTTCTGTGTGTTCATGTTAGAATTGGCATTTTCTATTATAGGGCACTTCTCACATTTAGTAGCTGTGAACAGGGCTAGAAAACTTTCATGTGCCTTAGAACTTGAACTAGTTCCCCCAGCCCAATAAAAGTCTCATGTTTAACATGGATGTCAGTATCTAAATATTGCTTGGGTGTAATTAATGATGTTCTGGAACAACAATTTTATTGTTCATACCTTTTCTATTTAAACTTATTAGTCTTGTGGAGTTATTTGATTAAGCAGTATTACTGCTCTAAAAGAGTGTACATTCAGGCAGGTTTGAAAATTGCAACAGACATTACTACTACATGGTAAAGTTCAAAACTAGCATGAATGACCATTTGAAAAGTAAGATAAACAAAGAGCTCCCCTGTCTGATTGCCTCATACAGCTGGCTGTTTTCATTCTTGTTTTTTGCATGTCTATTGCAAACCACATTATTCAGTCTGATTGAATGATTATTGGGTAACTGTGAAAGTTACTAAGTGATCATTGGTTTGGTGTGAATTAAGTTACAGTGAAAGTCCAAAGCATTTTTCGGTTAGGTTTGTTTATTACAGATTACAGTAGTTTTCTTGTGTATCCTGGATTAAGCATAAGTCCACACATTTATCCACATTTGCCAAGGTAGGAAGCACTTGAACTTCTGAGTTAGCATTTATAGATTACTTTGTTAATCTTTGTTGTAAGGTATTGCTGAGGGAGTGGAGTCTTTCTG